GATCACTCTCCTCATCAACTTCAAGATGCAGAGGAAAACAAATTTCAAGTGATGAAACCATTTCGCAGGCTACACCATCTTCAGCTGATTTTAAAAACTTTTCAGGAATTATTGAAGCAAATGGCAAAAATACTAGAAGTTCCTTTGGAGAGCGTTTAGGAAAAAAGCAAATAAACTTTTTCTTGATATTCCATCGCCAGCATCCCAAAGCAGGGTTGCAATATTGCAATATTAATGAAGCAATATTGGATCCAGAAAAATATCGCTGGGCTATTCCTGCTTCCACTGCAGCTACTACAAAACACTCTGATCATGGCCATCAGGTGCTGTCTAACGGATTTGAGTATTTTTATACTCATGTAGCTCCACTTTCACTGGTTGTTGCTGCATCCAATGAGCTGTCAAGACAGTCTGGGAAATCAACCTCTAAGCAGAGAGAACCCAAGAGACTGGATCTTTCTGGAAAGTACTTTTACTCTTCAGGCCAGGATACCAAATTATCAAGCCATGTTATCTAAACATGATTGCCTGCCATGGAATAGATGGTCAAAGTTTAATGACAAGTTTTACCTCTCAGAATGGTAGAGATGAGTTTAAAGCTACTTGTGGAAAAACAGCTTTTTGTTATAACCTCTCTTCAAGCTGCAATAGATGCTGCCAATTTGAGTGTGTGTTCAATGGCTACAGATACCATGATGTGATCTTCATGGTTATCTGTGTCAGGTTTACCAAAAGAAGTGCAAGCGACTATTTGATTTTCCATTCAATGGTCAGAATCGATTCAGTGCCAGGACAGATGAATCTCTGCATTCATTAAAAGACTGGAGATCCACACTCAGGTCATTAGGTTTATACACTCCTTTCTTTCAAAAAGACGCACTTTAAAGATTGTCCTCAATCTTTATTCTTCAGTTATACGAACACTCAATATTTTTTCATATTCCCAACACCAGAGGCCTCCTGAACCATCTAGAATGAGATCTGTATAGCAGAAGTAGTAGTCAGTTCCACTACCCTCAGACACACAGACATCAAATTTGTTGCAACAGTCAAGGATCTTGGACTAATCCACAAGTTATCTTTTTCTTCATGCTTTGGCTCCTGTTTCCTGGAGGCTTGGTTGGCAGTCACCACATATTGATGGGTCCTTCAAGTAATCAAGGATGGTTATACCATTCACTTTCAATACGTGTCTCCTTTCCACCCCTCTTCCTGGTCCCTTTTCAGGGACCATTTTTATGAGTGCCATTCATCAAGAAGTATACTGATCAAGCTCAGAGCAATAGAGTTAGCATGTCAGGAGTATATAGGAAAAGGTTTCTGTTTTCCCTATTTCCTCATACTGAAAAAGAGAGGTGGCTTGTGTCTGATTCTAGACCTCGGGAACCTCAACACATTAATTTGACATGCCAAGTTCCACATGGTAACTCCTGCTTCAGTTGGATATCATGGACTGGTTCATTACCCTTTTATTTAGGGAATGCTTATTTTCATGTGTCAGTACCCCACCACCGCTCTCCCCTGGAAAGCATCCACATTTTATGGCTGTAGGAAGTCATTATCAATTCTCAGTCCTATATTCTGGAATTTCATCAGCACCAAGGGTGTTTGCAAAGTGCCTATCAGTAATTGCAGCCCATCTACATAGGCAAGGATTTCGTACGTACCCTTTGCTAGACTGCTGGCTTGTGCAGGGGAAGTCAAACACAGATCATAGTGTCTGCCAAGAAACTGATGCATTTACTTTTTTATCCCTGGGTTTGAGGATTAACTTTAACTTTAAAATGTTGAATCCGATTCTGTCATAATCCAGAGTTTTTTTCCACTGCATGCATCCGATGAAGTGAGCTGTAGCTCACAAAAGCTTATGTTCAAATAAATTGGTTAGTCTCTAAGGTGCCACAAGTACTCCTGTTCTTTTTGCGGATACAGACTAACACTGCTGCTACTCTGAAAAGAGTTCATCAGTGCTCCTGGACTTCCTAACAGGGAGTTTATCCTTCCTATTAGACAGATTTCAGATAATAAAATACCTGATTCTACACTTCAATATTTACCCTCAAGCAACAGTAAGGATAGTGCCTTAAACTGTTAGGACATATAGCTTCCTGTACGTTTGTAACCACATTCGCCCAGTCACATCTCGGACTGTTTCAAACTTGGATCTAGTCTGTTTACAGACCAACAATCCAGTATACATAAGTGAAAGTGCTGATTCCAGTTCAAATTCTATTCTCGATGAAATGGTGGAGGACAGAAGAAAGTATATATACGGGAATTCCCTTTGCTCCTCTGATTGTTCCAAAACTTTGATAACAGCTGATTCCAAGATGGGTTGGGGAGCATATATAGAGGGGACCCAGAGGCCATGTGTCTGACCATCATCTAAAAGCCACGATTCACATAAATGTACTTAAAATTAAGGGCAGTGAGATTCACTTGCAAAGCATTTTTCCCTGTCACACACAGTTCTTCAGTCCAAGTTCTCATGGACAATTGCATGGCCTCCTAGGACTTAGGGAGGTGCAAGATCAGGCGCCCCCCACCATGCCCCCCTCCTTTTTATTTTTTTTTGCCAAGGAACCATAAAATTTTGGGAATGGTACATTCAGTGTTACATCAGTCTGACAGCTCTTCTCTTTCTGGAGAGAGAAATGGTCTAACAGCCTCACTAAGCAGCAAAATGTACTCTTCCCGTGAAATGAGAATTTAAAAAGTCAACCCTAAACTGAATTTTCCAAGTGTGTTGGCTTCCCCAGATTTATTTGGGTCAGTTCTAAACAGAAAATGTCTGATATTTTGCCTTTGAGCAGAAGAGAGTTGGCAATGTCTAATAGATGCATTCATGAGTTTTTTGGTCACACCATTTTATGTATGTTTTCTTTCTATTTCCTCTGATTCCAAGAGTGCTACAGAAAATAAGGCATGAAAAAGCTCAAGTTATGTTGGTGGCTCCTGCTCAGCTTCACCAGTTTTGGTTCTCAGATAATCAGTTTATCACACTCCCAGTTTAGGGAGATGTTATCACAGAGTCACTCTGATTCTCACCAGTCTTCATGGCCTGGGTGATATTTGAATGCTCTCAATAGATAACTGTTCTTCAAAGGTGCAGAGCAATGCTCTTCAGAGTAGAAAATTTATTCACTAGGAGTACGTACACCACCCATAAAGAGAGAAGTTTCCATTTGGCAAAGACTAAAGGTTATGCTCCATGTCAGTGTTCTATTCCAACAATATTAGATTACTTCTTATCTTTAAAGCACTCTTCAACCAAAGTCCATTTGGCAATGATATCTGCATTCCATTCTCCTGTAGAGGGATGTACAATTTTCTCTCATCAGTCAGTGAATAGATTTGTTAAAGGGCTTAGCCACATTTTTCCTCCTGTGGGAAAGCTCACTTGAACATGGGACTTTAAATTTAGTGATTTCTTTGCTGATGCTTTCCCTCTTCCCACACCACTTTTGAACCTCTGGCAAATTGTCCAATTCATCTATCATCTGTGAAGGTAGCATTCCTGGTGGTAATTACGTCAGCTTGTAGAAAAAGCGAATTACAAGCCCTAATGATACATCCTCCATACAGTTTTTCACATGGATAGAGTAACTATGAGATTGCACCCACCTTTTATTCCTAAAGTACTATCAGATTTTCATATCAGTTTATTCATTTACTAGTTTTTTTCCCCCCCAACAACATGTTCTTCACCTGCTGAATTTAAATCACATATCTCAGATGTGAGACGGTGGCTGTTACGAACTAGATCGGGGGTCTCAAACTGTGGGTCGGGACCCCAAAGTGGGTCAGGGATCCTGTTTTAATGGGGTTGCCAGGGCTGGTGTTAGACTTGCTGGGGCGCAGGGCCAAAGACCAAGGGCTTCAGCCCTGAGTGGTGAGGCTCAGGCTTCGGCTTCCGCCCTGAGTGGTGGGATTCAGTTTACAGGCCCCCACCACCTGGGGCTGAAGCCCTTGTGCTTTGGCCCCCCAACCTGGGGCAGCGGGGCTGGGGTGGGCTCAGGCTTCAGTCCCCCCCTTCTGGGGTCATGTAGTAATTTTTGTTGTCAGAAGGGGGTCGCGGTACAATTAAGTTTTGAGAACTGCTGAACTAATCTTTTTGTAAAACTTCAGTACTTTTCATTGCATATAGTAATAAATCAAAAGGAATGACTGTTTCATCACAGACTTTCAAAATGAGTATTGCATTAGAACTGCTTATGATATTTAAGAGTCCTCCGTCAAACATCTGACCTCACTCCACCAGAGCACAAGCTGTGTTGATAGCATGCTTAAATTGGGTTCAAATATCGGAAATATGTAGAGCAGCTACCTGGTCTTCAGCTCATAGATTTATGAAATATTAAAACTAGAAATGAGTAGTACAGAGAGCTTTTGATCTGGGAACTTGTTCTCTTGCGCTGCTGTCAGGTATCTTAATAGTACTCCTGACATGCACTTTAGTTTGTCAGAAAATGACAGTAACGGAAAATTCTTCCCTTCATTAGTCTATCCATAATAGTATTTACTGCTACATGATGTGAAAATATAAAAGTGTCCCTTTCAAATAGCGATGTCTGTAATCTCCTGTGATACTTTGGCTGGGTTGCTGAGGCTCCTAGAAATATTGGGACTCAGCACTGATGAGTCCTAGTGTAATTCCACTTTCTTGTGAGGAGAGTTGACTATCAGATGATTTGGAGAAAATGAAAAATGCCTTTCACTTTCATTAAATTGCTGGCAGTGGCTCCTCTTGTTTTAAAATTCAGGCTCTAGGAATTGCAAGCTACCTGACCTGGGCTATTTTTGTTGTTTGTCTTCAGTATTTATGCTGCACTTGTTTAAAAATGTCTTATTTACAACGTTAACGTCTTGGTAATTAAGTATTTTATGAATGATTGGGGCATCCCCTGTGAGGATATGAAACCTGCAGAAGGGTATTACTTGTGTCAGAGTGTCCCCCTAATCTGTTTCCATACCCTTCATTCAAGTTTTCTTCTTCACAGACCTTCACTCCTTTAGTAGATAAGCTGGGTTTAGGCTCTGTGGTTCCTGTGGAGTTTCTTCTGGACCGAGACCTGAGATTCCTGTCCGATGCCAGTGGATTGTGTCTGTTTCAGGTACTTGAAGAGGCATTCTCAGACAGAGTACAGATTCCACTTCATACCATGCTTTCCAGGTTGATTCTTTTTCAAGATGTGGTGGGGATCCTCATGGATATTGGGTAGATAGAGAGGGTATGAAAAAGTACAAGAATTGGCCCTGATCTCCAGCTCCATTCAGAAAGTCTTAAGGTCCCAGCTCTTCCCCCATCCTTCATTTTAGGAGCCTCTAGTTGCTGAGGCTCAGCCAAAGGGTCTGCATAGACCCTCCCTATCCAGAGGGAATCATTGCTATAGGAGTTCCAGAACTGCTTGTGCATAGTGGTCTTGATCAATTTCCTGACACATTGAGAAAGCTTGTTTACTTTTGTTTTGATGGAGGTCAGATATTCTTCTCCATCAGAGCCTCTAGAATAGAGAGAGGCCAGAGAGCTGTGGCCCCCAGCAGTATAACTACTGTATTGTCTATTCAAAAAGAAAAGGAGGACTTGTGGCAACTTAAAGACTAACAAATTTATTTGAGCATAAGCTTTCGTGAGCTACAGCTCACTTCATCGGATGCATTGAGCTGTAGCTCATGAAAGCTTATGCTCAAATTGGTTAGTTTCTAAGGTGCCACAAGTACTCCTTTTCTTTTTGTGGATACAGACGAACATGGCTGCTACTCTGAAACCTGTATTGTCTACTGGCTTTCTTGCATTCAAAACTTTTTTGTGTCATTGGCAGATGGGAACAGAGAGCCAGAACCAAGTTCTGCAGGAGCAATCTGCACTGAGAGACTCGGTCAATGCATTAATTAGTGACCAGAAACTTCAGGAAATATTTAGCAGAGGTAAGACCAACTGGCTTGTAGCTTGAGGGCTTGGATTGTGCATGAGTTTGTGCTCCGGAGAGGAGTCCCAAAATAAACAGTAATACCCATTGTTTGAAGTTCCATTCTGCAAGTTAATATGTCCAAAATTCTTTGTGAGGAGAGTTTAATTATTGCTTTCTTGCAGTTAATTGGAAAGGTAGATTGCTGTTTAACTGGAATCGTCTGTAACGATTGTTCAATCACAATCACTATAGTTAAGGTTGCAAAACAGCTTCCATTATAATCCAACCTCATGCATTCACAACTTCCCAAAATATCAACCCTTTGGGCTGAAATTTGAAATGCTTAGTCTGCTTGAAAGTGAGTTCTTCTGAAAAATAAAACGTAGTCCTTTAAGCCATCTTTGATATCTCTAAGGCCGAAAACCCCACACTTTGCCGTCTCAGATTCTAATGATGTCCTTTTAAGCATGACTGCAGTAAATGACTGAAATTTTAAACTTGGCATCACGCATCCTTACTCAGTATGGCATTCTGACTTGCTCCAATGGCTAGACCACGTAAAGGTTTGTGTGTGCTACAGCTATTGGCTAACATATCCTGGGTATCTTAGCTCAGGCAGTAGAGGCTCATAGTTTTCAATACAGAGGCAGCAGAGTTTGAACCCTGCTACCAATGATTTTCATGGAGCATCACATTACATTGGTATGGACATAGTTCTTGGTGGGTACTAGTGCCTTTGGTTTAACAAACATATGGATCTTAGGAAGAAACTTCTCATCCAGGCAGGTTACTCTATTAACTGTCTAGTATGGAATTCCTTGCCCTTTCTTCTGAGGCATTAGCTTATGGTCACTATCAGTGTCAGCATACTGGACTAGATGGACCTCAGTGGTTTGATTTCTTCTGGTAATTCCTGTGTTCCAAGATTTGGGGAAACTGCACACTGTGCTTTGGCAGTAGAAAATTTCCTTATCTCTAGAAGAATTGTGCATACATGTCCAGGTAATTAGGCATATTAGTTGGTTCCGTGAACTTAGCTTTTTGCTTGCAGTTTACACTTGGACAGGATACAAGTGAGGATTCTTCTTCCAGTAGTAGCCTTATGGGTGTTCCACTTCAGGTGTGATTGTGCCCCAGAAACCTTTACATAAGAACAGCCATACTGGGTCAGATCAAAGGTCCATCTAGCCCAGTATCCTGTCTTCTGACAGTGGCCAATGCCAGGTGCCCTTTGATCAAAGACTTTCGGTAGCTGTGCCTATTCAACCTGTGTATGTGCCCTACGCATCCTTGATCACCTCACCATGGCTATGTAGTCATAGAATCATAGAATATCAGGGTTGGAAGGGACCTCAGGAGGTCATCTAGTCCAACCCCCTGCTCAAAGCAGGACCAATCCCCAACTAAATCATCCCAACCAGGGCTTTGTCAAGCCTGAGCTTAAAAACTTCTAGGGAAGGAGATTCCACCACCTCCCTAGGTAACGCATTCCAGTGTTTCACCACCCTCCTAGTGAAAAAGTTTTTCCTAATATCCAACCTAAACCTCCCCCACTGCAACTTGAGACCATTACTCCTTGTCCTGTCCTCTTCTACCACTGAGGATAGTCTAGAACCATCCTCTTTGGAACCACCTCTCAGGTAGTTGAAAGCAGCTATCAAATCCCCCCTCATTCTTCTCTTCTGCAGACTAAACAATCCCAGTTCCCTCAGCCTCTCCTCATAAGTCATGTGTTCCAGACCCCTAATCATTTTTGTTGCCCTTCGCTGGACTCTCTCCAATTTTTCCACATCCTTCTTGTAGTGTGGGGCCCAAAACTGGACACAGTACTCCAGATGAGGCCTCACCAATGTCAAATAGAGGGGAACGATCACGTCCCTCGATCTGCTCGCTATGCCCCTACTTATACATCCCAAAATGCCATTGGCCTTCTTGGCAACAAGGGCACACTGTTGACTCATATCCAGCTTCTCGTCCACTGTCACCCCTAGGTCCTTTTCCGCAGAACTGCTGCCTAGCCATTCAGTCCCTAGTCTGTAGCGGTGCATTGGATTCTTCCGTCCTAAGTGCAGGACCCTGCACTTATCCTTGTTGAACCTCATCAAATTTCTCTTGGCCCAATTTGTCTAGGTCCCTCTGTATCCTGTCCCTACCTGCCACCGTATCTACCATTCCTCCTAGTTTAGTATCATCCGCAAATTTGCTGAGAGTGCAATCCACACCATCCTCCAGATCATTTATGAAGATATTGAACAAAACCGGCCCCAGGACCGACCCCTGGGGCACTCCACTTGACACCGGCTGCCAACTAGACATGGAGCCATTGATCACTACCCGTTGAGCCCGACAATCTAGCCAACTTTCTACCCACCTTATAGTGCATTCATCCAGCCCATACTTCTTTAACTTGCTGACAAGAATACTGTGGGAGACCGTGTCAAAAGCTTTGCTAAAGTCAAGAAACAATACATCCACTGCTTTCCCTTCATCCACAGAACCAGTAATCTCATCATAGAAGGTGATTAGATTAGTCAGGCATGACCTTCCCTTGGTGAATCCATGCTGACTGTTCCTGATCACTTTCATCTCACGTAAGTGCTTCAGGATTGATTCCTTGAGGACCTGCTCCATGATTTTTCCGGGGACTGAGGTGAGCTGACTGGCCTGTAGTTCCCAGGATCCCTTTTTTAAAGATGGGAACTACATTAGCCTTTTTCCAGTCATCTGGGACTTCCCCTGTTCGCCACGAGTTTTCAAAGATAATGGCCAATGGCTCTGCAATCACATCCGCCAACTCCTTTAGCACTGTCGGATGCAACGCATCCGGCCCCATGGACTTGTGCACATCCAGCTTTTCTAAATAGTCCCTAACCACTTCTTTCTCCACAGAGGGCTGGTCACCTCCTCCCCATGCTGTGCTGCCCAGTGCAGTAGTCTGGGAGCTGACCTTGTTCATGAAGACAGAGGCAAAAAAAGTATTGAGTACATAAGCTTTTTCCACATCCTCTGTCACTAGGTTGCCTCCCTCATTCAGTAAGGGGCCCACACGTTCCTTGGCTTTCTTCTTGTTGCCAACATACCTGAAGAAACCCTTCTTGTTACTCTAAACATCTCTTGCTAGCTGCAACTCCAGGTGCGATTTGGCCCTCCTGATTTCATTCCTACATGCCCGAGCAACATTTTTATACTCTTCCCTGGTCATTTGTCCAATCTTCCACTTCTTGTAAGCTTCTTTTTTATGTTTAAGATCCGCAAGGATGTCACTGTTAAGCCAAGCTGGTCGCCTGCTATATTTACTATTCTTTCTACACATCGGGATGGTTTGTCCCTGTAACCTCAATAGGGATTCTTTGAAATACAGCCAGCTCTCCTGGACTCCTTTCCCCCTCATGTTATTCCCCCAGGGGATCCTGCCCATCAGTTCCCTGAGGGAGTCGAAGTCTGCTTTCCTGAAGTCCAGGGTCCGTATTCTGCTGCTTACCTTTCTTCCCTGTGTCAGGATCCTGAACTCGACCAACTCATGGTCACTGCCTCCCAGATTCCCATCCCCTTTTGCTTCCCCTACTAATTCTTCTGGTTTGTGAGCAGCAGGTCAAGAAAAGCTCCCCCCCTAGTTGGCTCCTCTAGCACTTGCACCAGGAAATTGTCCCCTACATTTTCCAAAAACTTCCTGGATTGTCTGTGAACCACTGTAATGCTCTCCCAGCAGATATCAGGGTGATTGACATCTCCCATGAGAACCAGGGCGTGCGATCTAGTAGCTTCTGCGAGTTGCCAGAAGAAAGCCTCATCCCCCTGGTGCGGTGGTCTATAGCAGACTCCCACCACTACATCACTCTTGTTGGTCACACTTCTAAACTTAATCCAGAAACACTCAGGTTTTTCTGCAGTTTCATACTTGAGCTCTGAGCAGTCATACTGCTCCCTTACATACAGTGCTACTCCCTCACCTTTTCTGCCCTGCCTGTCCTTCCTGAACAGTTTATATCCATCCATGACAGTACTCCAGTCATGTGAGTTATCCCACCAAGTCTCTGTTATTCCAATCACGTCATAATTCCTTGCCTTCACGAGGACCTCCAGTTCTCCTTGCTTGTTTCCAAGGCTTTGTGCATTTGTATATAGGCACTTGAGATAACCTGCTGATCGCCCCTCATTCTCAGTATGAGGTAAGAGCCCTCTCCTCACAGACGTTCCTGCCTGTGCTTCCTCCTGGTATCCTGCTTGCCCACGTACCTCAGGGCTTTGGTCTCCTTCCCCTGGTGAACCTAGTTTAAAGCCCTCCTCACTAGGTTAGCCAGCCTGCTCGCAAAGGTGCTCTTCCCTCTCTTCGTAAGATGGAGCCCGTATCTGCCCAGCACTCCTCCTTCATGGAACACCATCCCACGGTCAAAGAATCCAAAGACTTCTCTCCGACACCACTTGCGTAGCCATTCGTTGACTTCCACGATTTGACGGTCCCTACCCCGGCCTTTTTCTTCCATGGGGAGGATGGACGAGAAGACCACTTGCACCTCAGACTCCTTTATCCTTCTTTCCAGAGCCACGTAGTCCGCAGTGATCCGCTCAAGGTCATTCTTGGCAGTATCATTGGTGCCCACGTGGAGAAGCACGGAGGGGTAGCGATCTGAGGGCTTGATGAGTCTCGGCAGTCTCTCCGTCACATCGCGAATCTTAGCCCCTGGCAAGCAGCAGACTTCTCGGTTTTCCCGGTCAGGGCGGCAGATAGATGACTCAGTCCCCTGAGGAGAGAGTCCCTGACCACCACCATCCGCCTCCTTCTCTTGGGAGTGGTGGTCTTGGAACCCCCAACCTCAGGACAGCGCATCTCATGCCTTCCAACCAGTGGAGTCTCCTTCTGCTTTCTCCCCCCAGACGTATCATCTGGTCCACTCTCCACAGTGGTACCTGTGGAGAGAACATGAAAACGGTTACTTACCTGTGTCTGTGTTGCTGGTACCCGGACATTCTCCCTTCTTCTTCTGGAGGTCACATGTTGCCAAGCTTCTTCACTGGCCTCTTGGCTCCGCTGTGCAACCTGCTCTAAATCTTTAGAGCTTTGTGCCCGAAGAAGCATATCCTGACTTTTGTCCAGGAAATCCTCAGATTCTCGTATGCAACGCAGGGTCGATATCTGTTGCTCCAGACCTTCTATCTTCAATCATGTGCAGGCAAACCACCCTCTGTCACTTCTCAGTCACCTTGGCCTGAGATGGTGCTTCATCAAAAGTCTGCTTTGAGCTTACCTCATTTGTGTTTTTTCCTCACTCTTATTTTTATTAGTTGGTTAATCAGAGGATCATTTTCTCTCTTCTCTCCCCCACCCCAGTCCCCTCCAGGGTCAGTTTGTCCAGTTCTGTGGGATATAAAGTCTGCGTCCCTTGCTAGGTGGTCATGCTGTGAGCAATAGGCAGTCCTAGTGTGTCTGTTGCCTTTGGGAAACACACATCCCCACAGCAGTGCAACTTCTGCATAATATTTAAATCTAGGGCCAGGAAGAACCAGGAAATCAAATTGAGACTCCCATGATGAATTCCCTCTGCCTGCTTAAGACCCAGGCCAAGGGACCTTATGCCCTCCCCTGCACCATCCCCCAGTCTCAGGCAAGCCGCATGCTCCTCTTGCCTCAGCACAATACTCTTGTAGGTCGTCCAAGGACTCGTGAGTTTTTATTTCACATCCTTCTCTCAATTCCCTGGTCGTCAAGGCAGTAAACGAACGTGGAAATCAGTACCATGCTAAAGCAATGCCATACGACGGAACAGAAATGCCTCGACCTTCTAAGTCATAAATCCTACTTGTTTGCGACTCTGCGGTTCAGAATTGCCAACTATCAGGATCTTATGGTGAAGTAGAACCACATTGGTTACTGCAAGTTTACTTCCTTTTATTGAGCACCTTTCACCATAATAGAGGGAGCAATTTCAGGCAGTCATAGTGGAGGATCAGCTTCTGGCCAGAGCATCCTTGCAAGCCTCTCTGGATGCTGCTGATACTGCTGCACACTCCATCTCTACAGCAGGTGTCATGCAGAGGGCTTCTTGGCTCTAGCTTTCAGGATTTCCCAAGAAGGTACAAAATATCATCGCGATCTTAATTTTGTTCAGATGCCTTATGAAACCTTCCTTTAAACCAATGGCAGTTTGTTCTCTACTTAAGTTATCTATGGAGATTGCCTTCTTGGTAGCCATTACATCTGCTCCAAGAGTGGGAGAAATAGGAACCCAAATGGCGCACTCTCTCTTCACAGTATTTTTCAAAGATAAGGTTTTGCTATGCCTACACACCTAATTCTTACAGAAGGTTTAATCTGAATTCCATATTAACCAGGTCATTCATTTCTCAGTTTTCTTCCCTAAATCACATCTGACTAAGGAGGACGCTATACTACGCTTGATGTCAAAAAGGGCACTAGTCTTTTACCTGGACAGGACTAAATCCTTTTGAAAAATCTCCCAGACTCTGTCAATTGCTGACAACTCTAAGGAATCTACAATTTCAATCAAAGACTCTTTAGGTGGATATCTGGATGCATCATTCCTTGTTATCAATCTAATGATATATTCAACCGTCTGTTCGGATGTTCAACAAAGAGATCTCTCTACCTTAGTGACATTTTCCCAGAAAGCTTCCATCAATGAGTTCTGCAGGGCTGCCACGTAGATTTCTGTACACGTTTTTTCAAAGTCCAAAGTTCAACTTCAGATGCTGCTTTTGAGTCTGCAGTACGATCTACAGCATTGAACTACTCCAAAGCCCGCGACTCCCACTGAGGCTGCTGCTTGTTAGTCACCTGAAGTGGAGCACCCACAGGAACGCTACTTGAAGGAGAGATTACTCATCCTGTAAACAACTGGAGTTCTTTGAGGCGCGTGTGTTTGTGTGTGTGTGTGTGTCCGTGTCCATGTAGGTGCTCCACTATGTGCCCACCTTCCCCTCTACTTCAGCTCTGTGGAGAAGGAACTGAGAGCAGTTCACCTGCACAGCACTGTATAGGCTTGGTGCGAGGCACAAGGATGTGTAAGGCACGAGTACGGGCCGAATGAGCTCTGCTACCCAAAGTCTCCGATCCAAGGTACATAGGGTGCGCGGCACCTGAAATGGATCACCCACAGGGGGACAAACTTCGAAGAACTCCAGTTGCTGAACAGGGTGAGGAACCTCGCCTTACAAACTCAAGGTGGGATTTCATAAGGAGTTCACAGTAAAGTCACATGGTTACTCATGATATGTGTGTGTCTGGATTTTTTTCCAATTATTCACTTGTAGGTGACAGAGGAAAAAATGAGTATTTAGGAGGGAGTCAGACTTGCATTGTTTCAGGTTCTAGGTTGAGTCTGTAAGACTGGGTTTTTCAGATCTTCTCAAAACATAATTTTACTTGTAAATTGATCAAATTTGACCTAATATTGATACAAACATGAGCTTCACAATGCTCTTTTTTAATCACATTTTTTCAACAGAACTGTGCTTAGATGATGTATTTGCTGTGAGCAAAAACTGTAATAAAACTTGGTAATCTGTTTCCTTGCACCAGGAGATAAGTGCTTTCAACCCTAACTTGGCACACATTACTGTCTGTATTACGCACCCTTAATGGTATAGTGCAAATAATTTGTCTGCAGGTATACTCAGTTGATCTGGCTCTCTTTTTCAGGTCCCTACAGTGTCCAAGGCCAAAGGGTTAAGGTGTACCAACCAGAGGATGAAAGTAGCTGGCTCTGTGGTGTTGTGACCTGTCAAGACCCCATCACTCGTCTTATGGAAGTGTCCGTGACTGAGGTGAAGGCCTGAAGCACCTCATTTGGGCTTCTAAAACATGAGTTCCCTGCATCGCTTGGTGAACATACCGTTCTCCACAAAATTTTGAATTTTGCTGTCTGTTGGCTAGTGTCTCCTAAAGATGTGTAATCACATGGTACTTCATGGACAGGTCACTTTTCTTACCCCACAGGGCTTATTACAAAATCTACAATGCACAATTCAGTTATGGGAGAATGTAGAGAGATGCTTGGCGAGGACAAAAATATTGCAGGAAAATTTGTATTGTAGGAAATGGTTGTAAAGGAGGAGAGGATATTGGTAGACAAGCAGAAGGTTACTTTTCCATGATTGTCATATTATGGCCACCAAATGCCATCTTTCTTGGCTTCTTCATCATACGGCACCTTGGTATACACATTACCTGAAACAGATGAAGAAGGATGGCTAGGTTCTAGGGGCCAAAATCTCAGTCTGAACCCATCTTTTTGATATGTAGTCTTGGCTGAATAGGAATCCAGGCAGCAGTTCTTTGCTTCCACAAACTTCCAGTCAGGAGACCCAAGTGGTGGGTAGCATGGTGAATCATAACTGTCTACAGCACTGACTGTTGTGTATTCTTTGTTGTGAGGAGTGGTGTTTTTTTGTTTGTTTTTTAAATCTCCATGATGAGATCATTTGTATTCAGATTGAACTTTTTGGATTGTTTGGAGGCAGAGCTAGTTCTGGACAGGAGCAGAATTTTCTTTGCTTGATTTTTAGCCAGTATGACTTGCAGGAGGCGTTTCAGGCCACTCCTTCTGAATCCAATTCATGTATCTCCTGACTGATGAACTCTACTGGAGAGACAGGGAGTCTGTTTTGAGAAAAGATTCTTAATTGTTTCCATGTGGGAGAGCAAGGTGACATTTTTAAATAAGGAAGTGATCATTTTGGCTCAAGAAACAATCACCTGACATTGATTTGGGGATTGGTCCTGCTTTGAGCAGGGGGTTGGACTAGATGACCTCCAGTGGTCCCTTCCAATCCTGATATTCTATGATATTGCTAATTATTGACTGGTCTCTAATCTTTCTTTTTGTGGGGAAAGCTAATAGAGAATGGGTGGCATCAACTGACACGTTTCCTTGCCAGTTTAGAAGGAAAGACAGAAAAGACAAAATTGAAAGGAATGAATTCAAAGTGGAAGAAGGGGACTTAGTGGCAGAACTGTCTCCAGACGTGTTCAACAGGACTGATAAATGAATGGAGACAGAAAAAGTAGAACAGAGTAGGAACCAAGTTTGAGGGTTAGAGAAGTTGAGAAAGGAAAGGTAGTGAAACAGTTCAAAGGGTATAGTGAAAGCAGAGATGTTGGCAAGTGAGGACAGGGAGAGAAGGAGGTGAGTGAGGGAAGAGAGGGGCTGCATGCTGTCTTATGTTCATTGTTATCTCTTACCTGGTAATTTTGACTGAAAGTTTGTTCTTTCTTCCTTGTATTTTTGCTGCCCACCTCATAAAAATCAGACTGGTGAGATAAAGTCAGTGGATCCCCGACTGGTTCACGTAGTGATGGACAACTCTACTCCACCAAATGAGGTACTGTATTGTCATGTCTTTCCTTGTGTAATCAGGAGCTTTAGAAAGTATCTTGCGATCGCTTGGGAGGAAACAACTTGAAGAGGAGTTCTGCTTACTGAGAGCATTTGAGACATACACTGGAGCTGAGAGGAGGGTTTCCTATATGTTTGTTGTGGATAATAAAATAGTCAGATTATCGACTTGGCTTCCTTTAAAAGTCCATTTTCTTTCAACACAGGCTTGCTGTGAGTTTGAGTTTGGAATTACTCTTACTGGAGAGAAAAGTGGACTATTGGTATCTAAGGGTTGTCTTGCTTCATTCTAAGGGATTGCACTGTGAAGGAGGCTGTCCTGGTGATCACTGCCTCTGGTTTCAGGAAATGCCTCTTCTCTTTCCATGCTTAGAAAGGGGTCCTGGCTTGTCCTTGTATGGCAGACTGTCTATAGCTTTGTGCTACAGCAATCTATCTCCACTCCTAACTACAATCCTTTTCTGAAATTTGGGGCTATTATTTCTGTGGATTGAAGGACAGGCTGCCTTCTGAAGGATGCTGGCAGAGTTGCCAGCTGTGCTGGACTGGAAGTTTTGCCTTAAAAGAAAATGATAGTGATAAATTTCAATGATATAAAACGTTTCAAAATTCAGTTTTACTTCAAAATAATTACCCATAATCAGAATTTCCCATTGTGCCGATGTACCACCATATGGCAACGTAGCGCTGTTAATAAGTGAATGAGGCTGGTTTGCTATGGAGGACCCTGTTCTAATGCAAAAAAACAGAGGCAAGTGTGTGTACATGCAATTTTATATATTAAAAACTTGCATTGCAGTATCTGTCTAAAATAACTATTTCTGAGTTTAATGTAGTGTAACAAATCCATTATTCTAACAAATGAAATGTTTCCCTTTAAGAGATGGGAAGAGAGTGGACCTTCTGGTTCCGGCCTGACAGGCTGGATGACCCTTTGCCTATAGTGATTACATAATTTTATTTATTCTAGGGAGGGGGCCTAAAGGCAGCTAAATCTTCGAAAGGGAAAAAGAAGAGAGAGAGTATGGAAGGAAAAGATGGACGAAGGAGGAAAAATGCTTCAGACTCTGGGTGTGATCCTGCAACAAAAAAGCTAAAAGAGAGGGGTGAAGTGGATAGTAATGGGAGTGATGGAGGTGAGGCAAGCAGGCCTCCTTGGAAAGGAGGCACCGGGAGTGAAACAGGGCTGGATGCAAGGGCCAAGCAGCTGCCTCCTTTTGTTCCTCAGATTAATCGCAATATTCGCTTTGCCACTTACACCAAAGAGAATGGCCGAACTCTGGTGGTCCAGGATGAGCCAGTGGGTGGCGACACGCCTGTACCCTTCACTCCTTTTTCTTCAGCTGCTAGTCAAGCACTGCTGGTTGGAGCTGGATGTAAAGAGGCAGGAAAATCACTGGAACAGGCTGGCCAAGGCATGGGGGCTTCTCCAGCAGTTGTTACTACAGCTGTTACTACAGCTGCTTTGACACCAACAACTGTGAGGATCTCGGACACTGGCATGTCAGCAGTTATTGGACAAGAGAAACAGAAAACAGGCTGGTCACAAGCTCAGGGAGAGGTGAGTTGCCTACAGCCTAGAAGATTCAAAGTACAACTAGAAAACTTTAGAAATATATTTTCTAAAGTCACTTATTCTAATAAGTTCCCACCCATGGATCTGTGTTTACAGGTAACTCTAAAATCTTTACAGTTTTGGGGCATCTCACTCTCCTCTCCCTCCAGCTCCTCCCCCTCTGACATGTGGTACGTTCAGTCCCTGTGGAGGTAAAGTTTCAGTCCCTCTCATTTTCACTTTTTGCCACTTACTGGTAGAGATGCTCCCATGGACAGTTTTTCTGCCCCACCACAAAGTCAGCTTAAAGCTGATAGAGCAAACTTTTTGCATTTTCTGACAGTGAAGCATGTCGGGTAGAAACATGAACTTGGCTCATTTTGGTCTTCTTTCTTTGTCCTTTGTAAATACAGTCAATGACAATATAAAATGTGCAGTGTGTTTGAGTGAATTGTGCTGATTGAACCTTTAACTTTTGTAATCTTAACTGCTGCTATTGGAACCTTTTTTAAATTGTGCAACCTTCAAGTTACCTTAATACAAACTACTATATTTAATGTAATTAAGTTTGATATTCTCACATGGAAGATAATAAATAGCAAGATATGCTCTTAAATAGTAAAAGCGGCAAAGAGTCCTGTGGCACCTTATAGACAACAGACGTATGGAGCATAAGCTTTCGTGGGTGAAGACCCACTTCGTTGGATGACATGCATCCGACGGAGTGCGTATTCATCCAACGAAGTGGGTCTTCACCCACGAAAGCTTATGCTCCAATACGTCTGTTAGTCAAAAGATGCCACAGGACTCTGCTGCTTTTACAGATCCGGACTAACATGGCTACCCCTCTGATTCTTAAATAGTAAGTACTGTACTCTGACAAACTATTGTTAGGATCTGCCTGAAGGTCAAAAGTTAAGAAACTAAAAAAAGACCTAGAAATGCACTGGAGACTGCTTGAAGATGCTTTTAGTTACAGAAGGTCTGCATATTCAAGGAAGAAAAAAGTAAAAAGCGGGAGGAAAACTGGTTAAATAACAAGGCAGAAGATTTTTATGTATCCTTTTAAAAATGAAAATCCAACCCAAGAGAAACTAATAAAGTAGACATTGGCAGGTAAAATAAGAACAGCCATACTGGGTCAGACCAAAGGTCCATCCAGCCCTGTATCCTGTCTTCTGACAGTGGCCAATGCCAGGTGCCCCAGAGGGAATGAACAGAACAGGTAATCATCAAGTGATCCATTCCTCGTCGCCCATTCCCAGCTTCTGGCAAACAGAGGCTAGGGACAACATCCCTGCCCATACTGGCTAATAACCATTGATGAACCTATCCTTCATGAATTTATCTAGTTCTTTTTTGAACCATGTTATAGTCTTGGCCTTCACAGCATCCTCTGGCAAGGAATTCCACAGGTTGATTGTGCGTTGTGAAAAAATACTTCCTTTTGTTTATTTTAATCCTGCTGCCTGTTAATTTCATGTAGTGGCCACTAGTTCTTGTGTTATGAGAAGGAATAAACCTTATTTACTTTCTCCACACCAGTCATGATTTTATAGACCTCTATCATATCTCCCCTTAGCTGTCTCTTTTCCAAGCTGAGAATGGTGACTGTGAATAAATTTAAAGACTACTATGTAAATACTTGGAGAAATGAAGACAGGCAAGTGCATTAGAAATAGGAAGCTCACTGAGTCACTAGGGCTATACAACCACCACAGTGTAAAAAGAGATCATGTAATGTGATTAGACTGCATAAAGGGTAAATGTTTAATTTGCAGCAGTCTCCATCACATAGGATAATGAAGGTAGGAGGGAGAGAAATATCTCCCTCAGTGGTTATCCTTCTGACTCTTTTGAAAAATAAAACTGCAATAAATCATCAGGGCTGTGGAATATTTATCAAAGAATTGAGAGGGAACTAAAGTCCAATGTAATGGAGCTACTAACAGATCATGTTTATTATGGGAGAGTGGCCACCATTGTACTGGTCTCTAAAGGCACAAAGGGAGGTTTTGATAATTATAGACCAGTGAGATGTCACTCTGTCTCTCATTGGTCTATAATTATCAATATCTGAGGTGCTAACTGATCCAAGCATCTATATAAGTGGGCTTGGAAGGTTTAGATTTTTATTGGTAAATGTCAGTAAATGTTAATTTACACACACACACACATTCCCATTGATAATTGAAAATTACAGATAGGCAAAGAGAGAAAAACATTACTCGAGAATTTATCAGAGTTTGAGTTAAGGATATTTACTTTGTGTATTTTAACATGATGTTGACAATTTGTGTTTTAATGGCTCTAAACCTTTTTAAATCTCAACATCTACTGTAATTAAATAATTGTCCCCCATATTGTCCAACATCCCCATAATTTTGCCCAACCGTAAAAATTTAAATATATTTTGAACTTTTTTATTTTTATCTAAGTTATTAGCCATTAAAATTATGAAATAAAAATTGAATTCTACCAAGCCTAAATATAAGCAGAAAATGCAAGGCACGAGCAAGCTCATATTCTGTAAGGGCAAGTCATTCCTCTGTAGCCTATTAACATTCTTTAGAAAAGACTAATAAAATAAGGGTGCAAAGGAATTGATAGGTTTTTTTTCTTTTAAATTCTCAGAACAGGCTAATAGAAGAGCCCATTAAAGAAATATGATTACCTTGTGTTGAGTTCATATTGTAATGAATAAAATAGCTGGAGATAGTAAACGAGGAGGAATGATAAATGGTCACAAAGACAGAGAAATTACACTCAGACATGAAGAGATTTGAAATATGACATAAGAGAGATTCAGTTTGGGGAAATGAAGCTAATACACCTAGGAAAAGATAATCTCAAGCATCCTACACTTGGAGTGTGACTTCTGGGAGGCAGTAATGTAGAAAGCATGTGAAGGTTGATCATGACCAGCAAATTAAACATAGGTTTGTAGTGTGATGTGGCTACAAAAAAAGCTTATGGGCTATTAGGCTGCATATGCAGAGGTTTTATGAAGCAGAGAGGCAACTGTTCCACTTTATTTGGCTCTGGGGTGCCTGCACCTAGAACACTGCATGCAGTTCTAGGTACAGTGTTTATGGCAAGATTGTCAAATGGGGAGTTTAGAGAAGAAAACAAATAATCATCAGGATGCAGGACTGACTCATAAGAAAATCTTGATTTAAAAATGTATAGCTTGATTGAGTGATGGAACAAAGGAACTTGGATACCACAATGATGCATGCAGTAGAAGAACCTGATAGTTATAGAAGCCTATAAATATATGAAGGGTATAAAAACAAATGGGGTATATAAAAATGGCCCTCCTGGGTCAGTCTAATGGCCCATCTAGCCCAGTATCCTGTCTTCCAACAGTGGCCAGTGCCAAATGCTTCAGAAGCAATGAACAGAACAGGTAGTTTGAGTGATCCCTCCCCTGTCCTCCAGTCCCGGCTTCTGGCAGTCAGAGGCTTAAGGACACCCAGAACAAGGGGTTGCATCCCTGACCATCTTGGCCAGTGGTCATTTATGGACCTATCCTCCATGAATTTATGAATTTTTTTAACCCAGTTATACTTTTGGCCTTTACAACATCTCCTGGCAATGAGTTCCACAGGTTGACTGTGCATTGTGTGACATACTTCCTTATGACAGGTTTCAGAGTAGCAGCCATGTTAGTCTGTATCCGCAAAAAAAAAGAGTACTTGTGGCACCTTATAGACTGACTAATTTATTTGAGCATAAGCTTTCGTGAGCTACAGCTCACTTCATCAGATGCATTCAGTGGAAAATACAGTGGGGAGATTTATATACATAGAGAACATGAAACAGTGGGTGTTACCATATACACTGTAAGGAGAGTGATCAGGCAATGTGAGCTATTACCAGCATGAGAGCCGGGGGGGGGGGGCGTGGGGGCGTGGGGGGGGGGAACGTTTTGTAGTGAAAATCAAGGTGGGCCATTTCCAGCAGTTGACAAGAACATCTGAGGAACAATGGGGGGGGGGGGGATAAACATGGGGAAATAGTTTTGCTTGTGTAATGACCCATCCACTCCCAGTCTTTATTCAAGCCTAAGTTAATTGTATCTAGTTTGCAAATTAATTCCAATTCAGCAGTCTCTCGTTGGAGTCTGTTTTTGAAGTTTTTTTGTTGAAGAATTGCAACTTTTAGGTCTGTAATTGAGTGACCAAAGAGATTGAAGTGTTCTCCGACTGGTTTTTGAATGTTATAATTCTTGACGTCTGATTTGTGTCCATTTATTCTTTTATGTAGAGACTGTCTGGTGTGGCCAATGTACATGGCAGAGGGGCATTGCTGGCACATGATGGCGTATATCACATTGGTAGATGTGCAGGTGAACGAGCCTCTGATAGCGTGGCTGATGTGATTAGGTCCTGTGATGAGGTCCCCTGAATAGATATGTGGACACAATTGGCAACGGGCTTTGTTGCAAGGATAGGTTCCTGGGTTAGTGGTTCTGTTGTGTGGTGTGTGGTTGCTGGTGAGTATTTGCTTCAGGTTGGGGGGCTGTCTGTAAGCAAAGACTGTCTGTAAGATCTGTGATGGGTCGTCCTTCAGGATTGGTTGTAGATCCTTGATGATGCGTTAGAGAGGTTTTAGTTGGAGGCTGAAGGTGATGGCTAGTGGTGTTCTGTTAAACTTCCTTATGTTTATTTTAAACCTGCTGCCTGTTAATTTCATTGTGTGACACCTGACTCCTGTGGTATGTGAAAGGTAAAGAATGTGAAAGTGGGGATATAAGCAGGAGTAAGACAGTGAAAAAGAGAGAATCTAGGCTAATGGTCAGGAAAAGCTCCCTAACAATGGGAGGAATCTGGCTGTGGAATAGCCTCCCTAGGAAAGTGGTGGAAACCTCAGTCAGTGCTTGGGACTTAAATAAAATTTAAAAATAAATTGGTCAAGGTGGTGTTGTAAGGAATGATCCTCCATTGGGTTGGAGATGAACTGAATTATCCAATATGAGGCTGGGATAAGCATGCTGTTTTTTAGGTATGATTCTTGTTGGGAAGATGCTGTTTCTCTGTCAACTGAAGACAATTAAAAGGTTATGTAACTCTGAAAAAAGAATAAGACTTAAAAAGCATAGCAAAGGCCAATTGAGTACTTGCTTTCCCATAATACATAAAAATGTAGTGAAGATTAAAGATAAATTTAAGCTGATGACAAATACCTATTCCATAATGCATAGTCTAAGACATTTACTATTGCAAGATACTGGGTAAAAAGTGATTCTTAAGACTTACACTCTGGTTACATTAGCTAGGATAGAATTACAGAGGCTATACATTCTTATATTGAAACGCATAAATGGATGACTATCTGAGGGCTCGGTGCAATATTGTACCATGAGGAGATATTTCTCAACTAGGTTCATTATGGTGATTTCAGGTTTTCCTCTGAAATATCTAGCATTGGCTGTTCTTGGAGATAAGATTCCAGATTAGGTAGACCATTCATATATCAGTTCTGTGTTCCATAGTGTGACAAGGCATTAATAAAACTTGATTGGTCTTCCCACCCTTAATTTGTAATTGCCATGAGCTGGCTAGTTACAGCTGCAGGGGTCAGGAGCGGCGGTGGAGGGAAATTCCTATTCTGTATTACTTTGGTAGACATTCCTAAATTTTAAGTTTAGAGAAAGCTGTGTTGGTGCAAGTAATGATTTCTGCTGTGACTCCCCATGGCAGGTATGTGAGAAGCATGTGAAGGATTTGATTGTGTAATTAGTAGCAATGGGCAAAGTTCTGCTGGTTTAGCTACTCAATCATCTTTTTAGAGAAAATCATTTTGTTAGTTAACTCTCTTCAATTTTGTTTCAGAATTCCCGAAATTCACTTCTGACCTCTTCTGGATTTGGAGCGTCTCTCCCAACTGCATCCCAGCCTTTGGGATTTGGGGATGGAAGAAGCCAATCAAATGGAGTATTGTCTCCAGCAAACAAGCCTGTTGGGTTTCCATTTGGCTGTAGCACTGGGCAAGAGACTCAGAAAGACTCTGATCTGTCAAAGAACTTGTTTTTTCAGTGCATGTCCCAGAATCTGCCTTCCAGTAACTATTTCACAGTCATCTCAGAGAGTTTGGCTGAAGAGCCCTCTAGTCGGGACTCGTTCAAGCAGAGTGTGGACAGTCTGGGCTCTGGGATCTGTAAAAGTAAATCTCCTCTTGCAGCAGACACTAAACCTGCAGCCCCATCTGGCAGTTCTGTGGACCGGAAGCTGCCATTGGAGTCTATGCCCACCCTCACTCCAGCCTTTTCACGAAGCCTCTTGAATACTCGACCTGCAGATAATCATGAAAACCTATTTTTACAGCCCCCAAAACTGTCCCGAGAGGAGCCCTCCAATCCTTTCCTGGCATTTGCTGAGAAAGCAGAACTCAGTCCTTTCAGCAGCTTTGCCTCTTCATCTCAGACCATATCTATACCCCCTTCAGCTATGGGTCTAAAGGCTGCTTCTAGCTGGCCAGAATCACACCCCTCAACAGACTCTTCTCTAGCTAAGAAGAAAACCTTGTTTATAACAACAGATTCCTCCAAGATGGTTTCTAATGCTCCTAGTTCAGCTGTTGCTGGTGTTCAGAGCCCATCCACTGTGGGGAATGGCCGTTCCAGCTCACCCACTGGTAGCCTGACACAGCCTATTGAGATGCCCACACTCTCCTCCAGCCCAACAGAAGAAAAGCCATCTGTTGGGCCTGGGCAGCAAGACAATCCTCTCCTGAAAACTTTTTCTAATGTGTTTGGCAGGCACCCGCCTGGCTTTTTCTCTTCGCAGGCAGAGTTTGCACAGGAGAACAAAGCCCCCTTTGAAGCTGTGAAAAGGTTTTCTTTAGACGAGCGGAGCATGACATCCAGACAGGACTCAGATTCTAGTACCAACAGTGACCTGTCAGACTTGAGTGATTCTGAGGAGCAGCTGCAGGCCAAGGCTTGTCTAAAGGGAATTCCGGAGCATCTGATTGGCAAGCTTGGCCCCAGTGGAGAGCGGAATGCTGAACTGCTGCTGGGAAAAGGGAAAGGGAAGCAGGCCCCAAAGGGCCGGCCTCGCACAGCTCCCCTGAAAGGTGAAGCGTTCAGGGCAAGGCAGGAATACATGAGAACATGAAGGGATGGGACACTGTTTTTTTGCACTGCACATATTCTGTATGGCAAACCTTGTGATTTTTTCACCCTGGTATAAATTCTGCATCACTAGCATGGGCACAAAATATTAGTAGTGAAAAAAAGCTTGGAGTTTTTAAAGGATGTGGTGATTGATGTAAGAATATCTGCGGGTACGTTCACTAGGGAAAAATGGACAAGCTTTGAAAGTTCAGGACACAGTTAACAGGGGTATGCTTCAGAATTAAAGATAACCATTAACAGACTTTCCCATTGGCATGTTATTCCACAACTGTCAATTAAGGCAGTTTTACACTTTTTTTTGAAGCATATGGTACTATCCAGTGCTCTGAGAAGAGTAAGAAGTGTTTGGAATTGCTTGTAGATGCATTTAGCTAATTTTTCAGCATTTTAAGTGTATACATTATTCAGCCAAATTGTTTTTCACATTCTGCATTATTTCTTTCTAAAATACCCATCACTGAAGTGGTGTGGCATGTTTGGGAAGCCTGTTGTAGGCAAAAGTTTCTATCAAAACTAGGGGGAGCAGTCTGCTGTTCAAGGGGTAACCCTGGGTTAATTACTCTGGAAGGAATGCACTTTTCAGAGAGGATCTTGGAAAATATGCTTCTTGGAGTTGACCATTTGCTGTTGTAGTTTGACTGATGGGTTCTCATTTTTCCTTTTCAATACAGTTGGCCAGTCTGTGCTGAAAGACATGAGTAAGGTGAGGAAACTGAAGCAGTCAGGAGAGCCGTTCCTCCAGGATGGATCTTGCATCAATGTAGCCCCTCATCTGCACAAGTGTCGAGAGTGTCGTCTGGAGCGGTACCGCAAGTTTAAGGAGCAGGAGCAGGATGACTCAACTGTGGCCTGTCGCTTTTTCCATTTTCGGAGGTGCTGAATCTCTCTCTGCTTCATATGTAACGTTTATGGAGCACTTCAGGCTTGTGAAGTGCTAAATATTTTGTTCTTGGACATTTTAACTTGCCTGGGTAGTCTAATGAAGGTTTTGACTATTCCAAAACTGTCACCTGGCTGGAGTTCTATCATTGTCCTGCAAGGAGAACAGCTGCCATTGCTGTTATCCCGCTTCAGCTAACTTCAAAAGCTACAGCTATATGACACTAACTGGATGGCTTCATGCCAGGTCTGAGGAGACTGAATTTGTTTCCAAAGCTCAGTAAACTTTTACGGCTAGATAGTAAGATCCTGTACTGAAATAACTATTCTTTTCCAGCTTTCTTTAATGAGTTTGGGACAGAGTTAGGATTTTTAGACTAGCTAACAACTAATTGAATTTTGCCAGTTCAAAGCTAATGTTGGAGAAAATATGTAACTGGCCTTAAGAGTAGCTGTGTGTGTCTCCATGGTACACCAACCACTTGCCCTGTTCCTTAATGGGTGGTATCTCTTGATCTCCTTAACCAGACCCTCCTGACTGTGTGCTTGCATGGTTTGGAGAAAGATAAGCAGCTAATTTTTAGAGAAATAAAAAGCAGTGACTCAATGCACAGTATATTACTACAAAATCATCATCTCGCATACATTCCACGTACACCATTGTCCGAGCTTTTTCTTTCTGTGGTATCCTTCAGAGGCCGGCTCTAGCACCCTCTGGTGCCACATGCTCATGTGCCAGTATAAGAGGTGCCGCCATCATGCACCCTCTCAATTCCTTCTTACTGCCCGTGACGGTTGTTGGAATGACCCCTCTTGCTTTGGCAAGACTTATTTTCAGTGGTTTTTGAACTCTGATTCATAGTTTGTTAGTTCAAGTACAGTTTTAGTGCATATAGATATTGTAGTTAGCGTAAATCGATAATCCCTATCGTTGAGGGACTCTTTTCGCTCCAGGGGCCGGGCATGACCTGGTCCCAGGGCTTCAAACCATGTGCCTCCTGCATCAAACCTATGCCCATGAGCGACCCACACTCTAGCTGCTTGAAATGCTTGAGAGAAACTCATGTGAGGACCAAGTGCCAGTTTTGTCAGGACTTTTGGACTGCGCACAAAAAAAGAAATAGAGAAATAAGATTGACGGCTATCCTAATAGAAACCGCTCTCGGACCGGCCTCAGAGCCAAGCCGCTTTGATTCGACACCGAGCACTTCAGCCTCACTGTGAAGTGCTTCTCTGGCACTGTGCTCTTCCCAGCGCTGTTAATCTCCAGTGCCAAGGAAGAAGCACAAAAAGCAGCACACCGACAGTGCAGAAGGAGGACAAGCATGGCCAAGGCAGCAGTGTGTGACCTGCGTCAACCAACTCCTCCACCCCCGGTCCCATGGTGGCATTGTTAACTATGCCCACAACATAGAGTCCAGTGTGGGACCCTCTGCCGACACCTGGAAGCCACTGTGGTATCAGCAGTCTGATGGTTTCATCAATCCCTGAGGCCTTTGCAGCAGCCGGGGACTTACTTTTGCTCCTGATTCCCCCAACTCTGATGGGACAGCTGCCGGTCCCAATGTCTGTGAGCAGGAAGGAGCATAGATCTTAGAGTTCCTTCCTGGGACTGAGTGCCCTGGGACCTTCTAGGGGCAAGCTGACCCTGATACTGTCATCACGACCATCTCCAGTCCTCAGACCCCCGGGATTGAATGGAGGCAGAGAGGGGTACTACTCCACTGTGGTCACGAGGGAGGACTTCTGAGTCCGAAGGGGAGCCCGACGTTCAGCCTATGTGCCGCCTGACCTTGGCGCGAGTCCCCCTGCCAGCACCTGGCCAACAGGTCAGCGGCCTATGCAGTGGCCATATGGTAACCCTTGGGTGTTTTCCCCCGGTACTGGGTCCTCCCTACCATTGATCATACTTGATGATTCCAAGAGAGAGGCTACCGCTCCTTTCCACTCAGCACCTGACGCCGACCCTGGTATCGATGTTCAGGATATAGTTCCCATGGATGTCATTGCGGCTGAGGAAGAAGTCCCTTCTCCGGTGCAAGTGGCTGCCATTTCCTCCCCGGATGAGGCTGACTTGGGGCCGAGTAGCTCACTCCTCAGGGCCCATCGGGACCTTCTGAAGTGGAAAGCAGCTAACCTGGGGCTGGAGCTTGAGGAGCTTAAGGAATCATCCCACAGCCTTAGGCCAGGTCTACACTGCGGGGGGGGAAGAGGGATCGATCTAAGATACGCAACTTTAGCTACTAGAATAGCGTAGCTGAAGTCAACGTATCTTAGATCGACTTAGAATCACTTACTTCGCGTCCTCGCGGCGCGGGATTGACAGCCACCGCTCCCCCGTCAACTCAGCTTCCGCCTCTCGCCCTGGTGGAGTTCCAGAGTCGATGGCAGAGCGATTGGGGATCGATTTATCGCGTCTATGCTAGACACAACAAATCGATCCCTGATAGATAGATCACTACCCACCAATCTGGCGGGTAGTGTAGACACGGCCTTATTGACGTTCTGGCTGCAGCTCCTCCCTCCAAAATGGCCTTGCTCATTAATGAGATTGTAATGGGTTTGGTCGAGGCCCTGTGGCAAACTCCTTCTCTGTTCCCCACCTCAAAGAGGGCAGAAAAGAAATATTATGTGCCAGCAAGTGGGTACAAGTACCTATACTCCCACGCCCCCACCAGGGTCCCTGGTTGTGTCAGCAGCCAATGACAGGGGCATCAGGGCCAGTGCTACCCCCAAACAAAAGGATGCAATAAAACTAGAGCTGGTCGGGAGAAAAATGTATTCAATGTGTAGCCTACAGCTGCGTATCTGGAGATATGACTATAATCTGTGGGATTCCTTAGCCAAGTTTAAAGACACTCTGCTGCAGGACTCAAGGCAGAAATTCTCTGCCCTCTTGGAGGAAGGTAAGAATGTGGCTGGGACATCTCTCCAGGCAGCTCTGGATGCAGCTGACTCAGCAATGGACAGTGACCTCTGCTGTCACCATGAGGCAATGCTCTTGGCTCCAGTCCTCAAACTTCCTCATGAGGTCCAACAGTCCACCCAGGATCTCCCCTTTGAAGATTCCTCTTTATTCTCAGAGCAGACAGACACAAGACTTCCTGGCATGAAGGACTCAGGGGCCACTCTCAGGTCCCTGGGCCTCTACACTCCATCGGCTTCCAGGAAGCACTTCAGGCCCCAACAGCCACCACGTTTCTTGGCTCCATCTCCGAGACAGGAATCCTATAAAAGGAACGGGAGAGGTTAGAAGCAGCATCAACAGCTTCCCTCAACCTCCCTGAAGGGGTCACATAAGTACTTCCCAGTGGGCCCAAGCAGGCCTTTTGAAGGTGTGCCTGAGGGTGCTATACCAGTTCCTGTTTCAGATCCTGTCTGCCCTTCGTTTTCGGACTGTCTATCCAACTTCAGCCTAGCGTGGTCTTGCATAACATCGGACTGCTGGGTGCTAAGTACAGTGACCATCAGCTATACCTTTCAGTTTACATCCACCCCTCCCTCCTACCCTCCATTCCTGTCCCTCTTCAGGGACCCTTCTCACAAGCAACTCTTTGCCCAGGAGGTACAGTCCCTCCTGTAGATGGGGGCCATGGAGAAGGTTCCTCAAGACTCACGAGGAAGGGGTTTTACTCCTGATATTTCCTGATCGCAAAGGTCAAGGGGAGCTTTGGCCCATTTTGGACCTGTCACCTCAATAGGTATCTCAAGAAACTGAAGTTCCGCATGGTCTCCCGGGCCTCCATCATTCTTTCCCTGGATCCAGGGTACTGGTATGCCTCTCTTGATATAAAGGATGCCTACTTTCACATTTGTATCTTCTGTAGCCACAGAAGATTTCTCAGGTTTATTGTAAACCAATGCCACTACCAATTCACTGCTCTCCCATTCGTTCATCTTCTTAGCACTGGGCCTTTTGATAAATGAGCAAAAGTCAACTCTTTGTTCCAGTTCAGAGAAGAGAGTTTACTGGGGCAGTGCTCGACTCAACCTAAGCCAGAGCCTTCCTTCCGCAGACCCAATTCCAGACTGTTGGATCTTATATCCAAAGTCATTGTCTCGGTGGCGACATCCCTCACCTCCTAAGCAGAGGCGTGGCTAGGCAGCTCTGGTTCCCAGCCGATGGGAGCTGCGGAACCGGTGTTTGGGGCAGAGGCAGCATGCAGATCTGCTTGGCCACGCCTCTTCCTAGGAGCTGAGGGAGGGGGATGTTGCCGCTTCCAGGGAGGTAGGGAGCCTGCCAGCCCCACCGCCCCAACAACTCCATACCCCCAGCACCAACGAAGGTCCAGAGCTGCTGGCACCCGTGGCGCACCCGGGCTAACACCCCCCTGGCCCCCCAAGCCCTCCTGGGCCACCCCCATCCCCAGAATTAGTCAGAGGTATGTAATACAAGTCATGGACAGGTTACAGGCCGTGAATTTTTGTTTACTGCCCCTGACCTGTCCATGACTTTTCTAAAAATACCCCTGACTAAGGCTATGTTTTAGTCATCCTGGATCACAAGCTAAATATGAGTCAACAGTGTAACACTGTTGCAAAAAAAAGGTAAACATAATTCTGGGATGTATTAGCAGGAGTTTTGTAAGCAAGACATGAGAAGTAATTCTTCTTCTCGAATCATAGAATATCAGGGTTGGAAGGGACCTCAGGAGATCATCTAGTCCAACCCCCTGCTCAAAGTAGGACCAATCCCCAACTAAATCATCCCAGCCAGGGCTTAGTCAAGCCTGACCTTAAAAATATCTAAGGAAGGAGATTCCACCACCTCCCTAGGTAACGTATTCCAGTGTTTCACCACCCTCCTAGTGAAAAAGTTTTTCCTAATATCCAACCTAAACCTCCCCCACTGCAACTTGAGACCATTACTTCTTGTTCTGTCATCAGCTACTACTGGGAACAGTCTAGAGCCATCCTCTTTGGAATCCCCTTTCAGATAGTTGAAAGCAGCTATCAAATCCCCCCTCATTTTTCTCTTCCGCAGGCTAAACAAT